GCGGCAGCCGCCGGCCCCGGCGCTGCCCAGTAGACAGAATCGAGCCGAGGAGCGTCAGCAGCGGCGCTCCGCGCTCTCTGGGGCCCTCCAGGAAGTTGTTTTTTTTTTTATGGATATCAGCAATCTAATTCTAAAATTTATATGGAGAGACAAGAGACTCAGAATAACCAACACAATATTGAAGGAGTAGAACATAGTTCGAGGACTGACAATATCCAACTTCAAGATTTACTATGAAGCTACACTAACCCAAGTGTTGTGGTATTGGTCAAAGAAAAGACAAATAGTTCAATGGAACAGAATATTAAAAGCCCCAAAAATAGATCCACATAAATATAGGCAACTTATCTTTGATAAAGGTGTAAAGGCAATACGATGGCCCCACATAAAAATATAATGTATTTAGAGATCACAATCAAGGCCAGAGTAATTGACTGTAGCAAGGGAAGGAGGTCAGCTAGAGAAGAGATTAGAGAAGTCAACAGGAGTTAGTGATGCCACATCCCTCATGCTATGAAAAGAGATCAATATTTGTGGCAGGATTTTATTTTGAGACACTGGCTGAGGTTTCTCTCATTCTCCTACCACCTCAAACAGTCAGGTGCCTTCACCACCCTCAGGAAAAACATATATATATACCTCTTATATGCACAGCCCTCTAGGGAGAAGAGATTGTTCAAAGAGCACAGATGTTAGAATTTTTGCCTTTGAGTTCCAAAATACAGCCTTTAAAGTCATGGTAGAAATAACGATCTTGAAAGACAACATTCTTTAACAGCCAGACTTTCTGAGAGCGGAAATAATAATGGCCCCATATATTTAGCATTCATTGTGTGCCAGGCACAGTTCTGAGTCCCTTATATTGAGAGCTCAGGAAAACCCTGATATAGGCAATGCTGTTGTCTCCATTACACGGTTGAGGGAACCGAGGCACAGAGAGGAATTAACTTGCTCAAGTCACACAGCAGGGCCAGGACTTGAGCCCAAGCAGCCTGGCTCCAGATCCTATGCCTCTGAAGGTTTGGGAAGAGAGTCACAGAGGGAACCAACTGGGAGAGGGAGAAACAGAGGTGGGATGTTGGTGGGAAAAGGAACTAAAAAGTTCTGAGAGCCTGCCAGGGTGGAAGCTGCACCCCTTTCCCTTTGTTCTGAGCTGGGGACTCCAGTCTTGAGGGGACATTCCCAGGACAGATGAAGTGATCTGCCTCTATGGTTGCTTCTCGCTGAATCAGAGTCTCAGTCTTGCTCCTTAAATCTATTCTTAATCCTCTTCCCTCTCCTGCTCAAACACCTCCCAGGACTCCCTACTGCCCACAGGATAAAGTTTTTACTTGGGCTCTGGGAAAACCCACTAAGGGCCTAAGTGCCCTGTGCTTAGAGAGGCAGTCGGGGTTTTGAGTTCAGAGACATCACCCTGCCTCCACCCACTCACTCCTCTTTCTTAGATCCCACCAGTCCCCAAGAGCCCCTTGCTGGTTGTCAATGAGGCTAAAGCAGAGGTGTCAGCATAGTTTTATTCCTGGGAATCTACAAAGGTGGGTGGGTGGGTAGGACGGTCACTGTGAGTTCACACCCAGGGGCTCCACCCGCAACCAAAGTCCACCCTCTGCACGCAATATCAGCTCCGGCTTCCTGCTGGGCTCAGGGTGGGTCGGCAGGATGCGGAAGCGCAGCAGCGTGAGTGCCAGGACCACCTTCATCTCAGCCATGGCGAACGCCTGCCCAATGCAGTTTCTGGGGGCGAAAGTGAGGGAATCTGACTGTGCCCATGACCCCCATCCCGGGCCCATCATGCTTAAAACCTGGCCTGGGACCCCGAATCGCACCCAGATAGGCTTGAGGGGCAGAAAGAGGGGCTAAGTGTCCACAGGATTCCCATGTGTGCTTGCATATCCCCCAAACCTGGCCCAGGTTCCTACCTCCACTTCGGATCAGCAGATAAAGGAGGGGACTCTGAGCACACTGCAGACCTCTCTAGGACCTACCCAACCCCATTCTGTGAACTGTTGCCCATTAACTCCTGAGGAAGGGAGGGAAGGAGAGCTGGAACTGGGACCGTCTGTAACTTCCCCCTTTTGTGACCCCTGCACCCATCTCCGCCTCATCAGGCCATCTCTGCCTCAGACTCAGGCCATCCTTACCTGGGCCCTGCCGAGAAGGGAATAAAAGCCAGAGGTGACCTCTCCTTGATGTTCTCTTGGTAGAAGCGGAAGGGGTCGTAGACCTGCAGGTGAGACCAAGAAGGCTTGCTGGTTGGGGTCTCCCCGCTGGGTGGGGTCTCCCAGTTTTCTCCAAGACCGCCAGCCTTGGAGAGACATTTTGGCAGATGTGTCTCCATTGAGTGGAAGTCACGTTGGATTTGCCTGGTCAAAACCCTGTCACCTCCTCTAGGAACCTTGGAACGGATCCCTAAAAGGGTGGGGTGAGGGAGGCAGTACCTCAGGGTCTGGCCACACAGTTGGGTTGTGATGGATCCCAAAAATACTGATGATGCAGATAATGCCTGTGTGAGAGAAGAGGGCAGTCAGGACAAGGACCCCTGCCTGAAGGCCTCTCTTCCTACCCAGGAGGCTCCTCTCCATGAGGCTGTGAGCACCTTTGGGGATGATCCGGCCGTCTGGGAGCACAATGTCTTGGGTGCAGCATCGGGAGACGGCAGGAACTGGGGGATGCAGCCGCAGGCTCTCCTTAATGCACATGGTCAGGAAGGGCAGCTGGGCCAAGTCATCCCTAAGAAAACACCCCAGCCCCAATGGTTATCAAGTGAGCAAAGACACAATTCTCCAGCTTCTCTGTTTCCAAGCGAGACCTTTGTATCCCTATCACAAAATAAATTCCCCACGAATGAAATACTGGATAATTTAAAAAGCAGAGCAAAATTAGAAAAGCAGAGAATTAGAAAAGTACCGGAAAAAAATGGTGCAGATTTCTTGAAGATTATTCTGAGGAAAACACAACACCCTGAAGCCAGCTATAAAAAAAAGTTTGGGCCGGGCGCAGTGGCTCATGCCTGTAATCCCAGCACTTTGGGAGGCCGAGGTGGGTGGATCATGAGGTCAGGAGATCGAGACCATCCTGGCTAACATGGTGAAATCCCATCTCTACTAAAAATACAAAAAATTAGCCGGGCGTGGTGGCGGGCGCCTATAGTCCCAGCTACTCGGGAGGCTGAGGCAGGAGAATGGTGTGAACCCAGGAGGCAGAGCTTACAGTGAGCTGAGATCATACCACTGCACTCCAGCCTGGGCGACAGAGCGAGACTCCATCTCAAAAAAAAAAAAAAAAAGTTAACATATTTGCATAAAAGTAAATATCCTTTATGGCAAGAAAGCAAACACAAAAGCAAAGGAAAAAAAAAACAAAATACCCAGATCCAGTGTTTTGGTCTTATTCATCATTGTACTAGAGATAGTAGCAAATGCAATTAGACAAGGAAAAAAAAAAAAAAAAAGAGAGGATTGCAATTTGAAATGTGGCAGTAAATGTATCATTTTGGCAGATGGTGATTTTATACTTAGAAAAACAGAACACTTCACTGGAAAACATTTACAAACATTTAAGATCCAGTAAGAGAGCTGAATTCTTTGCTTAATCTTTCTTCTTTTTCTGTGGCTGTTTAAAATTTTAATACATTGTACACTTAAGTGTTTCAAAATTTGAAAACTATAAAACGTCATCTACCCCTATGGCCCAATGTCACCTGCTTTTTCTCCTCACAGGTTGCCTAAGTTATTATTATTTTTATGTATCTTTCTAGAGCTAATTTTTGGCATCTTAAAAATATGGGTACATCATATACTATACACATATTCCACATCTTTTCTCATTTAACAGTATGTCAGTCTTTTCTTGCCTAGCTCCTGGGACTTGTATCAAAATAGGGTTATCTCTACTCTGAAGCTATAAAATACTTTTCCAATGGTTTCTTCTAGAGCTTTTAAGAGCCTTTAAAAAAACTATATACTTGAGTAATCTGAACATTGTCTTATTATAAGACATGGCAACCAGATCAAGTTGATTTTTTTTCCAGGAAACTTCCCAGTTGTCCTAAGAGCTTTTACCTAATGATCTATATTTTTTTCTCTTGATACAAAATACCATATTTATCGTGTACTATGTTCATTGGGAACTAAATTTAAATGTACAGATTATTAGTTTTCCCATGTAGAAATAACAAGCAGCTGGAAAAAGATAAAAGATAAGCTATTAATAATAATATAAAATATCTGAATAAAATTTAACAAGAGACATAAAGTCTCTGTATTTCAAATGAATTTATACATTTCCCTCAATCTGAATAAAAGGTACACTTCACCATAGCAACAAAATATGTAAGGATTGATCTAGCAAAACATGCATATGATATCTAGGCAAGTATTTTAATATCTATTAAAAGCTTAAATATTATTTGAATACATTAATAACCATTTTACTATGACAAACCATGTGTCAATATTATGATGTTACCTGAAGTTACTTGATATGATATATCAAGTCAAACGAGAGAATACATTCAGTGCAAATGATAATCTAATTTTTAGGAACTTGATGAACTTACTCTAAATTTTTTGGGAAGAAAAAATCATGAACAGCTAAGTCAATCTGAAAATAAAATATTAGAGAAGAGAAAGTCGGCTTAGGCAAAGAATGCATGACTAAGACCTCAAAAGCAAATACCACAAAAATAAAAATAAAGAAATCAGTCCTAATTAAACTAAAAAGCTTCTGCACAACAAAAGAAACAATCAGCAGAGTAAACAGACAACCCACATAGTGGAAGAAAATATTTGCAAATTATGCATCTGACAAGGGACTAGTATTAACAATCTACAAGGAACTCAAACAAATCAGCAAGCAAAAAACCAAATAACCGCATCAAAAAGTAGGCAAAGACATGAATAGGCATTTCTCAAAAGAAAATGTACAGGGAACAAACATATTTTAAAATGCTCATCACTAATCATCAGGGAAATACAAATTATAACCACAATGAGATACCCCCTACTTCTGCAAGAATAACCATAATTAAAAAGTCAAAAAACAATAGATGTTGGTGTGGATGTGGTGAAAAGGGAACACTTTTACATTGCTGGTGCAAATGTAAATTAGTACAACCTCTGTGGAAAGCAGTAAGGAGATTCCTTAGAGAACTAAATGTAGATCTACCATTCCATCCAACACTCTCACTGCTAGGTATCTACCCAAAGGAAAAGAAGGCATTATGTGAAAAAGACACATACGCATGCATGCTTATAGCAGCACCATTCACAATTGCAAGGATATGGAACCAATCTAAGTGCCCACTGACAAACGAGTGGATGAAGAAAATGTGGCATATATACACCATCACTCAGCCATAAAAAGGAATGTAACCATGTCTTTTGCAACAACTTGAATGGAACTGGAGACCATTATTCTAAGTGAAATAACTCAGGAATGAAAAAACAAATATCATACAGTCTCACTTACAAGTGGAAGCTATGCTATGAGGATGCAAAAAGATACAGAATGACATGATGGACTTTGGGGACTCAGGGAGGGAGGTTGGGAGGGAGGCAAGGGATAAAAGGTTCCATATTGGGTACACTGTACACTGCTTAGGAGACAGGTGCACTAGAATCTCAGAGCTCACCACTAAAGAACTCATCCATGTAACCAAAAACCACCTGTACAGCACCCCCCAAATTATTGAAATAAAAACAGAAGAAAAAGTCATTCTACCAGATATTAAGACCTATTACTGAGGTACAGTAATAAATGTATCATGGCAAAGCTGCAAGAACAGGAAAACAGACCAAAGAACAGAATAGGGAGCTCAGAGACAGATATGTGAATAAGTGAAACTTCACATCTGGTAAAGGAAGCCCCACAAAACCCTGGGAAATGGCTGGATAGTACAGTTACAAAAGAAAATGTGGACAAAATTGGCTTCATATAAACCACCCAAAACTGTCCCCAAGAAGTCAAAAGGCAAAAAGTGACAGAGAAAAAGATTAACTTTAATACATATTCTCATAAGTAAATATGAGAAAATAACCCAAAAGAAAACAGCAAACAATGTAAGATGATTTCTTCCATAAAAAGAAAAAAAAATGGCAAAAGATGTCCTATCCCACTCTTATTTAAGGAAATGTTCACTAAAAGAAGAAATAGGCAGACAGACAAAAATTTAGTGTGGTGAGTCCTCGAAGATCTAGGTGCAGAAATACCATTTGACCCAGAAATCCCATTACTGGGTATATATCCAAAGAAATATAAATCATTCTGTTATAAAGATACATGCATGCATATGTTCACTGCAGCACTATTCAGAATAGTGAAGGCATGAATCAACCCAAATGCCCATCAATGATAATTGAGATAAAGAAAATGCAGTTCATATACACCATGGAATACTAGGCAACTGTAAAAATGAACAAGATCACGTCCTTTGCAGGAACATGGATGGAGCTGGAAGCCATTATTCTCAGCAAACTAATGTAGGAACAGAAAACCAAACACCACATGTCCTCACTTATAAGTGGGAGCTGAACAAGGAAAATGCATGGCCAGATGGTGGGGAACAACACACACTGGGGCCTCTCAGGGGGAGGGGTTGGGGAAGGGATAGCATCAGGAAGAAAAGCTAAAGGATGCTGGGCTTAATACCAAGGTGATGGGTTGATAGGTGCAGCAAATCACCATGGCACACATTTACCTATGTAACCAACCTGCGTAGCCAGAAACTTAAAAATTGCTAAAATAATAAGTATATGAAGTAATGGATATGACAATTAGGTTGATTTAATCATTCTGCATTGTGTACATCATAACATCACAGTGTGCCCCATAAATATATATAATCAAAATTTGTCAATTAAAAATAAAGACAAATTGAAAAACAAACTCATTGAGAAAAACAGAAGATCTTAAAGATACATAGTGTGCAGACCTGTGTCTATTTTATGTACTCCTACACATATAGAAAAAGAGAATGTGTGTTCATATACAGTGGGCATCAGAATAGCCATTTTCTAGAAGGACACACAGAAAACCATTGATGATGGAAACTGCCAGGGTGAGGCTTAAGAAGGTAGTTCATTTTTCATCAAAATTTTTGGACACTTTTTTTTAACAATGTGTAATTTTGCTTGAAATCTTGGTTTTAAAAGCATAAAAATGTTTCTCCACCTCACAGGACTGCTGTGCTGAGTAAAGTCTTGGAGGTGAGGATGCTACCTTCAAAAGACTTGTCCAGCTCAATGTCTCCTCTCCATCCCCAGCTCCTCGCCTGGCTCAGACCTCAGAATGTCCTCCCTGGGACTTTATTCTACAACTGGTCTTCTCCAGTAGACCCTCTACACTAGCCCTAAAAAGATTGTTCTACTACCTGTCCCTTCCCATGGACCTTGAGTTAAAATTGAAGTTCTTCACATTTTTCCCACGTATTCCACACCCAGGCTCTGCTCCCATCTCCAGGTTCATCATCTCATCATGACTCAGTTTCTCCCTCTCTATCCATCTCTCTGTTTCTTTCTGTCTTCCCTGTCTTTCTCTCTCACTTTCCTTCTGTCTCCGTTCTCTCTTTATGACCTTCTCCCTCCCCCTGCACACAAGCCACTTCTCTTTTTCCCTCTTTTCTTTCTCTTCTTTCTCTTCTCTCTCTCTCTTTCTCTTGGTCTCTCTCTCTCGGTCTCTCTCTCTCTCTCTCTCTCTCTTTCTCTCTTTCTCTCTTTCTCTCTCTCCTGCTCTCCTTCCCTCCCTCTCTCTTCCCTCGACCTTGGCCCAGGCTCTCTTCTTGACCTAGGGCACTACTGCCTCCCTCCCTCTCTCCTCCCTCGACCTTGGCCCAGGCTGTCTTCTTGACCTAGGGCACTGCTGCATCCAAATATCAACTGATCATTATTAAGGGTCTCAACCAAGACACCTCACTTTTATTTTCATGTCTTCATATTTTTTAGAGAAAGATTCTCGCTATATGGTCCAGGCTCATCTTGAAGTACTGACCTCAAGTGATCCTCCCACCTCAGCCTCCTGAGTGGCTGGGATTACAGGTTCAGCCACTGTGCCTGGTTGAGACACTTTCTGTACCGCCAGTCATGCTTCTCTTGCTCTCAACCTCATCCCTGCCCATCTGTGCTGGGAGTTTCCTGTCCTGGGGCAGTTCCCCCACCAGGCTGGGAGCACTGGGAAAACAGATCACAGGGTTGGATCCTTTCAAGGTCTCCAGAGTACTGAAAGGTGCTAGAAACAAAACTGGGAATGGGAATGCAGTGTGGGAGTGTTTGCTGAATGAAGACTGGATACATGAACGATGCAGGTGTTCTGGACAGGAATGAATGACTTCCACCCTCAGGTCTCCCTTAGAAATCCCTGGACTGCACAACGGGATTGAAATAGGGTACGGAAGAGCAAACATTCAGAAAGTGAAGATATTTGAAAAAATATGATAATTCAGTGAAAAGAGGAGGTGGCGGAGAAATTCATTTGTTGAACACATGCTAAGTGGCATCATCTGCCTTTACGTACTGTCACCAATTCTCCCAGCAGCCCGGGTCCCAAAAGCCTGCAAACCATCCCCTGCTGGCCTGGCTGGGTATTAAGCCCTGCCTCTGAGATTTGCGCTGATTCCCACTAAGAGGTAATGGAAGAAGTGACAGAAAGCAACTCCCTCTCCCCACCCACCTGAGGAGCAGAACCAATGAGAAAAGATCAAGAATAGGCCAGCACCTGCACTCACCATTCAATCTCAACAGGCTCACGGTCCTTCAGAAGTTCTCGCGCTTCTTGCCGGCAGCGTTCCTGGTATTCTGGGTGCTGTGCGAGGTGGTATAGGACCCAGGAGAGACCACTGGCTGTGGTGTCATGGCCTGAGGGGCAGCCAAGCAAAACCGGATTTCTGGGCTGCTTCAGCACCAGAGGGTGGACAGCACCCATACACTGAGGCTCTTGGGAGAATGTAGGGAGCGGGAGGATGGGCAGAATGGAGTGATCCAGGGTCCACCCACCACGTCCCTGGGATGGAGAGGCCCCTGCCCCCACTGTAGTCCCACACTGAGACCCTCACCCCCAAACATGAAGGTGTCAGCTTCTGCTCTTATGTCCTCATCAGACAACTCCTTCCCATCTTCATCCTGGAAAGAAGGCAAGACAATACCCCTGCCCAAATCACACCAGCTCTGGGGGCTCTTGAGTCAAACCTAAAACAATTTCTGAAGATCCATCCTTCTTCCAGAAACCCAAGCCCATCGTGCACTTCTAGATGTCTCTTGGTCACCACCATCAGAGCCCACCAACCACGGGCTTTCCCGCTGCCTTCTTTGCCTCCTATTTGGCCCTGCTGGGAAGAGTCAATGACCTATGAATATTATCTTGTCTCTGAATAATGAGGACTTTTGGAGTAAAGTATTACTGGCAACCTGGGTTACAGCATATTTCAATGGCAATTTGGCTTGGAGGTTAGAAATTAAGTATTGTCCAGATGCAGTGGCTCACACCTGTAATCCCAACACTTTGGAAGGCCAAGGTAGGTGGATCACCTGAGGTCGGGAGTTCACGATCAGCCTGACCAACATGGAGAAACCCTGTCTCTACCATTAAAAAAAAAAAAAAGCTTGGCGTGGTGGTGCATGCCTGTAATCCCTGCTACTTGGGAGGCTGAGGCAGGAGAATCGCTTGAACCCAGGAGGCAGAGGTTGCAGTGAGCAGAGATCGCACCATTGCACTCCAGCCTGGGCAACAAGAGCAAAACGCCATCTCAAAAAAAGAAAGAAAGGAAGAAAGGAAGAAAGACAGGAAAGAAAGGAAAAAAGAAAGAAAGAAA